GTGCTATGAATCAGGGGGCCTTTTGGCACGCGAGGTGCTCAGCCCAACACCCGCCGTTCGCTGCCATGCCCTAATTGGACACACGGCGTATTATTATTCTTCTTCTTCTTCATCCCTGGGGGGCTGCGATCTGTAAAACTGTCGCCACTTTCGAGGCCTCCTGGGGGGCCCAGCACAATAACGCCACGCGCGGACCCAAATTCGACCTCGCCATCCCTGGGGGGCTGCGATCTGTGAAACTGTCGCCACTTTCGAGGCCTGCTGGGGGGCCCAGCACAGTGACGCCACGCGCGGAGGGGCTGCGCTCTGTGAAACTGTCGCCACTTTCGAAGTCTGCTGGGGGGCCCAGCACAGTGACGCCACGCGCGGACCCAAATTAGACCTCGCCATCCCTGGGGGGCTGCGCTCTGTGAAACTGTCGCCACTTTCGAGGCCTGCTGGGGGGCCCAGCACAGTGACGCCACGCGCGGACCCAAATTAGACCTCGCCATCCCTGGGGGGCTGCGATCTGTGAAACTGTCGCCACTTTCGAGGCCTGCTGGGGGGCCCAGCACAGTGACGCCACGCGCGGACCCAAATTAGACCTCGCCATCCCTGGGGGGCTGCGATCTGTGAAACTGTCGCCACTTTCGAGGCCTGCTGGGGGGCCCAGCACAGTGACGCCACGCGCGGACCCAAATTAGACCTCGCCGTGCCTGGGGGGCTGCGATCTGCGAAGCTGTCGCCACTTTCGAGGGCTGCTGGTGGGTCCAGCGGAGTGAGGCACCGCGCGGATCGGAGCAAGACCTCGCCGTGCCTGGGGGGCTGCGATCTGCGAAACTGTCGCCACTTTCGAGGGCTGCTGGTGGGTCCAGCGGAGTGAGGCACCTCGCGGATCTCAGCAAGACCTCGCCGTGCCTGGGGGGGCTGCGATCTGCGAAACTGTCGCCACTTTCGAGGGCTGCTGGTGGGTCCAGCGGAATGCAACACCGCGCGGATCGGAGCAAGACCTCGCCGTGCCTGGGGGGCTGCGATCTGCGAAACTGTCGCCACTTTCGAGGGCTGCTGGTGGGTCCAGCGGAGTGAGGCACCTCGCGGATCTCAGCAAGACCTCGCCGTGCCTGGGGGGGCTGCGATCTGTGAAACTGTCGCCAATTTCGAGGGCTGCTGGTGGGTCCAGCGGAATGAAGCGCCGCGCGGATCTGAGCAAGACCTCGCCGTGCCTGGGGGGCTGCGATCTGCGAAACTGTCGCTACTTTCAAAGGCTGGTGGCGGGTCCAGCGGAGTGAGGCACCACGCAGATCTGAGCGGGACCTCGCAATCCTTGAAGAGCTGCGAGCCTCACGAATGCCGCTCGCAGAAATATATGAGCCCATGTCACGTCATCACTTCCGTATAACGTCGCCCAAGTTACTCATGCCCCGCATTGCGCAGGGGTTGAGTACGTCGCCAGGGTAATTGAACATTCCCCCTGTAGAGGGACACGCCCGACTACACTCGGTCGATGGCGGGGGGGAGCGACGGTAAGTGGCCACGGGGAAGGGGGGGGAATCGAGAGGGACCGCAGGGGAAGAGGACGGGAGCGGTGGGCAGGGGACGGGGCAACGGGGGGGGGGACAGGGCGTGAGGCGAGGAGAGGGCGGGCGGCGGAGAAGAAGAGGCGGAGGCCCAGACAGGTGCAACGGGGAAGAAGCGGGGAAGAAGCGGGGAAGGGGGAGGTCCAGGCAGGTGCAGCGGCAGGGGGAGACGGCCCAGACAGGTGCGGCAGGGGGCGAGCGGCGGGCAGGAAGCGGAAGGGGGGAGGAGGCCCAGGCCCAGACAGGTGCAGCAGCGAACGGCCCGGGGCAAGCCCAGGGAGTGGGGTCCATTCGCGAGGCCGTTGCCCCGCCCTCCTCCTCTTCCTCCTCCTCCTCCCCTTCCTCCTCCTCCTCCTCCTCCTCCTCCTCCTCCTCCTCCTCCTCCTCCTCCTCCTCCTCCTCCTCCTCCTCCAGGTTGACGGCTGGACGGCTGGGGCCGTCTATGGCTTGAGGCAACTCCTTCACAACTCTCCGCATCTGCGGCGGCTCTTCAAACAACTGCCTCGTGCCTGGGCACAAGATGGCCCTTCTGGTCGACGAGCTGCGACGCGTGGTTTGCCGCGTTCACCTGGGCGGGCTTGACCTCCTCCGCGATGGTTGTGGCCGGCTTGCCAGTCCTGCCGATGGCGTCAACCACGAGCTTCACCTGGTAGTCCGCGTCGCGGTGGTGCGCTGCGCAAGCAGCATGCGCCTGAGTTCCGAGATCGCCACGCAGACGTCGTTGGTGTCCTGCTCGGCGGCGCGCTGCACGAAATACTGCGCCCAGAGGAACAGCAATCTCCACCGCCGCGGGACAGCGTGGGCGTCCTTCGCCCTTGGCCATAGCCCCTTCCTGGCGACCTCGAAGCACGAAGCGCCAGCACCAGTGCCCTGAGCACAAACGGCAGTATGCATGGCCAGCTGCGATGCGTGCGCCGCACTGCCATGGCATATCTGGATGGTGCGAGCTCGACTCCGCTGGATTGCATGTGTTTTGATGTTACCCTCGCCGACGATGCCGCGATTATCTACCAAGAGCGCAGCATTTTTTGAACTGCCTTATTGCGAGGGCCCACGCGTACGGACTAGAACCCAATTGGGCGAAGACCGTGCATTTACGAGTCGGACATACTCGGACATCGTCGCTCCAAATGGGGCCCCAGTGAAGACTGTCACGTCTGCAGTCTACCTTTGGGGTCTCTTGGGCGCAGGTGGCGGCACTGGCGCAGCCGTAGCCAGATGAATCGGAGAGGCGAGGGCTGCCTCCCACACTTTGGAACCAGTATGGCGGCACGCCGACATCCAGCGGACACGCAAGCTGCTGTTATTCCGAGCCTGCATCATGAGCAAACTGACCTACGGCATTCCACGCGCAACGCCTCCGCCAAGTATTGGGCATGCCTCGCTCCATGGTGTCGTGGGTCACGAACGCGAGCACGAGAAATGCCACAGAGCCAAAGTTATATTCCGGCAGTTGTTGTTTTTTTGGCAGCATCGCGGCCATGCCTGATTCGCTTCTCAGACGCACGATTCTTAGCATTAGGTCGGGCGTGTCCCCCTACAGGCTGATTTTAAACGAAAAATATAACATATTATCAAAAATGCTCAAGCATTGTCAAAAAATGCTAGAAAAGTCGTCCCCAGGCAATTTTTGACTACTCCTCCTGTAGAGGGACAAGCCCGACTGAATCTTAGCACAGGAACTGTCGAGCCCGCCGGCCCACAAGCACCGAGGCGGAGAGGCCAACCCCGGCTGGCGTGGGGCTCGGTGGTCAGAGCAGACGCCCCTTCGGCGATCGCGGGCTTCCCCCCGCCCCCGCCGCTCTTCCCTCTGACCACCTACCAGACCACCCCAACCCAACCCGACGACCCGAATTTCGGGTTGGGGGGGGAGGTACGGGCTTCATATGTATTTTCATGTGTTTTCTCAATGTTCTCCGACACCCCCCCCCACTGGAAATGGAGGGCAAATCGGGGCCTTCGGTTGGGTTGGGGTGGTTTGGTGGGCGGTGACCCTCTCCCTGCCCCTGCCCCTCAGGAGAACGATCTGTCACAATTTCTCATTCCTGCGCGCCATTGCCCGCGCGCGTGGGAGACTGCCGGCAGCCAGGGAAGTAAGTCCCTTCCCTTTGATCCCTCCCCCGCCGGGGGGGGGGCGTCCCCGAGGGTTTCCCGGGGAGGGGGGGGGTCTGGGTCAGATGCAACTCCCCTCGGGGGACTCGGGGGGTCCCCGGGCACCAAAAACGCCCCAAGACGGGCCAAGAGTGCCCCACGAGGCCCCCAAGACGGTCCAAGAAGGCTCCGAATCGCCGAACGATCTGTCCAAGACGCCTTGACAGCCCCCAGACGGCCCAAGAGCCCAGCAAGACCCCCTAAGAGGCCTGCATGAAAACACACCCAAAAGGGCCCCAAGCCCAAGACGAAAAATCATTGATTTCCCACTGGTTTTTCTGAAGCATTTCGGCGTTCTCGCTCATTTCGTTTCCTTACGCTCCAGGACAGCCCAAGAGGCCCCCCGGATCGCCCCAAGACGGCCCGAGAGGGCTCCAGGAGGGACCCGAAACGGCCTTCGAAGGCCCCAAGACGGTTCAAGACGCCTCCAAGACGGCTCCAAGAGGGTGCCCAGACGAGGGACCAGAACGGATATTTCGAGCCCTCGGCCCCGAGAGGCTCCCAGGAGGAACCAAGAGGCCCCCAAGAGACCCCCAAGCGGCCCCAAGAGGCCCCAAGAGGCCCCCAGGAATCCCCGAGAGGCCCCCAAGAGGCTCCCAAGAGGCCCCCAGGATGCTCCCAAGAGGCTCCTAAACTGTCCCCCAGAGGCCTCCGAAAGCGCTTCGAAGAGATCCCAAAAAGCATCCATGATGATTCTGACCCACGTCAGCGTCGTCGTCGTCGCCGCCGCCGCCGTGGTCGTCGCTCCCCTTTAGGGTCGGCGGCACTGGCCGTAAAGCCTTCGCAATAAGGTGGCCCAGACGGCAAGACGGCACTCTGATCACGCCTTTGTCAAACGGCTTGCCTGAACCAAGACGGCCCGGGCCAACATGGCTACGGTCCCTTCTCTTCCTCCTCTCTACTTCTGGCCCCCGATCTCCAGCTCTTCCCTGTCGCTCATTATCCACCCTCATCTTCTCTCCGCCTTCTGAACCTTTAGGGAAGACGACGTAGAAAAGGTTATGTTCCCTCTACCAATGCTCCCCCCTCCACCTGTATCTCTTCCCGAGGTCCCCAGTCGTCTCTCCAGAGGTCTCTGGAACTCCCCGGCGCCCCGGAAGCTGCCAGAGGTCGTAGCGGGCCTCCGGAGGCCTGCGGAGGCAACCAAAAAACATTGTAAGAACATCCCCAACAATGAAGCCCGATCCCCGAAGCTCCTTGTCACCCCCTTTTTCTTCCTCCTCCTCCTCCTCCTCCCCCTCCTCCTCCCCCTTCTCCTCCCCCTCCTCCCCCTATTCCTCCTCCTCTTCGGTCCTGACCCACAAATCGCAGGCCGTTGCCCTCCACGGCGCGCCCAAGCCTGCTGTCGGAGAGGGGCCTGCGGCATGGCGGCGGGAGGTCGGGTCCAGCGTGCCGTTCAGCAGGCGCTCGAAGTGGCCCTGCTTGAGCAGGAGCTGCGAGCCTCGGCGGCAGGGAGGGCCCAGGGCAGGGCCCGGAGGCCCAGTCCACGACCGCGGCGGGCCGGGGCCGCCCCCCCCCCCCACGTGTGCCGACCTGCCAGAACCCATGGCAGGATGCGCGGCTTCGAAAGGGGGAGGAGGGGGAGGAAACGAAGGAAGAGAAGGGCACGGCGGAGAGTGAAGAGGGGGAGGGAGACATGACATGATAACGGGGACGACGATGATTATGATGATGGCGATGATGATAGTAATGAGTTTGATGGTGATGATGCCGAAGGTCAATAGTATGATGATGATGCTGCTGCTGCTGATGATGATGATGATGAAGGTGCTGTTTTCTGCAAGCGGACAGGTGATGGCACCCATGACAACCGATGATCAGTGAACCTGGACGCATCTACATAAAACTCCTCCACACTCCACTATGCGATTTCCAGCATCTAAAAGGGAATGCTAGCTGCTCAGAAGCTACGCGCGTGACCAGCAACGTCCACTCTCGAAGGCACATCGGCCAAAGGGAGAGAAAAAGAGAGGGAGAGAAAGAGAGAGAGAGAGAGAGAGAGAAAAAACAAAAAAACAGCGCTGCGGGCTTAGAACGTCGTCGGGGACCTGCGGCGCGCAGACAGAGGACAAACAACAAGGGGACGACTCCTACCCCAGCGCCTCGGGTGCCAGGTTCCGCCACGGCATGGCGACGAGGGCAGCCAGAGTGGCGACGAGAGAGGACGCGACTGTAGCGACAACAGCACAAGGACCTGCACTCGAAGATGGCGGCAAGCCGCCGTAGGGACGCAAGAGAGCAGCGTGGAAAGAAACACGCAAAGACAGGGCGAGCGATCAACATCGGAAGCCTGCGACGCGAAGGCATCTCGCCACAGGCGGAGCGACGACCGTCGCAGATCCTGCAAGCTTCTGGTCAACCACTGGTGGATCCCAATGGACACCACTGGACCGCAAGGAGATCAAGTGCCACGGCAATCTGACGGAAAAGAGGCCAAGAATGAACACTGCACGGGATAGGAAGGCCACGGCCGCCTGAGATCGGATCTTCGGGGATTCCAATGGGCATCGGCGGCGCAACGTACCAATGCAGGGAAATAGTCCGAGACATTTCCCATCAGCGTAGCTTCGCCAATCGCCGCGTGGAAGATCGAGCAATCAAGGAGCACAGCTGTCGGATTAACAACATTCAGACGATCAAAACGGCTCGCATGGAGCCACTCCCATCCTTGCGTCTTCCGTCGGTCTGGATCGGGCTGGCGGATGACGGGAAGCGCCTCCGGCGTGCACCGTTGGTTCAGGGGCTTAATTTTCTCTAACTAAGGGGTGCCGATTCCATCCCGCACCTCGCTGGCGGATGACGGGAAGCGCCTCCGGCGTGCACCGTTGGTTCTGGGGCTCAATGACGGGAAGCGTCTTCGAGGTACGAGAAGCAAGCGGGACGTTCTGGCTGAATCCTTGAGTAAATATATATATATATATATATATATATCTTTATATCTATGGGTTGCGCGCGCTGCATTGGCGGATGACGGGAAGCGTCTTCGAGGTACGAGAAGCAAGCGGGACGTTCTGGCTGAATCCTTGAGTAATATATATATATATATATATATATTTATATCTATGGGTTGCGGGATTGCACGGGGGTTTTCATTGGCGGATGACGGGAAGCGTCTTCGAGGTACGAGAAGCAAGCGGGACGTTCTGGCTGAATCCTTGAGTAAATATATATATATATATATATATATATCTTTATATCTATGGGTTGCGGGGTTGCACGGGGGTTTTCATTGGCGGATTCCCCAAAATGGCCATTTCGCTCGAGACATCCTCGAAAAATCGAGGTGTTGGAGGCTATCGTTTAAGACGTCTTATGTCAAAAATGACGGTTTCGCTCGAGACATCCTCAAAAAATCGGGATGTTGAAAAATATCAAAAATTGTTGACATGCATGAAAAATGAGCGTTTCGCTCACGACATCCTCGAACAAATGAGATGCCGACAGAGGTGTTTTAGAACCTTTTATGTCAAAAATGACGTTTTCGCTCGGGACGTCCTCAGAAAATGAGCAGGTGGTCTGCCGTGCTCCTGTGTCGAGCACGGCAGACCACGGCCATTTCGCTCGAGACATCCTCAAAAAATCGAGGTGTGGTCTGCCGTGCTCCTGTGTGGTCTGCCGTGCTCCTGTGGTCTGCCGTGCTCCCCACAGGAGCACGGCAGACCGCGCGTAGGAACCGAGAGGAGCACGGCAGACCAAGACGAGGAGCACGGCAGACCAGGCTTAGGAACCGAGAGGAGCACGGCAGACCAAGACGAGGAGCACGGCAGACCAGGCACCAAGAGCGCCCTCAAGACGACGGAAAGGATGACCAAGACGAGGAGCACGGCAGACCAAGACGAGGAGCACGGCAGCCTGTGGTCTGCCGTGCTCCTCACAGGAGCACGGCAGACCGCGTCCTCACAGGAGCACGGCAGACCGCGCGTAGGAACCGAGAGGAGCACGGCAGACCACCTGCGAGGAGCACGGCAGACCAGGCTTAGGAACCGAGAGGAGCACGGCAGACCAAGACGAGGAGCACGGCAGACCAGGCACCAAGAGCGCCCTCAAGACGACGGAAAGGATGACCAAGACGAGGAGCACGGCAGACCAAGACGAGGAGCACGGCAGACTATGCAGGAAGAGTGCCCTCAAGACGGCCGAACAACGGCAGACCCCATAGGATCACGGCAGACCACAGAAGAGCACGGCAGACCAACCGGAGCACGGCAGACCACACCAGAGCACGGTCCGTAGCCATTTTGGCTCAAGGCCATGGCGCACCCGACGACCGCGAGTCCGTCGGGCGTTCTTGAGCGCGAGGGGCGCTCTGCCACGAGCCAGAAGCTTCGCCAAATTTGTGCTTCTTCGTTCCTGCAGGGCCGAGTGTCTCGGCCAAGCTGCGGCCAGTCCCTCTGTGAGCCGCCATGTCGGAAGTTGCCGCGGGGCTCGCTCGGAGGGCTTACTGGTTGTGTGCTAAGCGTGGCTGCAACGCTTGGAATTGGTGCGACAAGCGTTGGACGTGCAAGGCGTGCGGCACCAGCGCTCCCCCATGGACGAAGGAGTACCGCTCCGACAAGGTCTCCCCTCGGGTGGATGCCGACGGGTTCGTGCAGCAGCCCAGGGGAAGAGCTGACCAGCGCGCTGCGAGGCGCTCCGCCTCCCAGCGGGCCCTCTCAGGGAGCACGGCACCCAGCAGCTCCCCCAACAGCAGGACACGGCGTGGGCGTTCCTGGGGAGAGGCCAAGTCTCAGTACGATGAGCTCCAGGCGCAGCTCGTGGCGGCCAAGGAGCGGGTCGACAAGCTCCAGGCGGCCGCGGCGCTCGGGCTCTCGGAGGACTTCCAGCGAGAGGCGGAGAAGGCCCTCCAGCAGGGAAGGGACCAGGTCGCCGCCCTCGAGCAGTCGGCCCAGGAGGCCCAGCGGACGGGACGCCCGCCCCACTCGGTCTTCCACATCGAGGCCAACGCCATCCAGAAGGTCGAGCGTCAGTTGGCCACTGCCCGCACCAAGAGGGAGAAGCTCCAGCTGCAGGCGGCGGAGCTGCGCGACCTCATCGCGGAGAAGCAGGAGCAGCTGTCTGCGGCCGAGTTGGGAGTTGATGAAGTCACTGGGCAGATTGCTGAGCTGGAGGAGACCAAGGCCAAGGTCACGCAGCAGGCGATCCAGAGGGCCAACGCGGCGGTCGGTGGTGTGCCGAGCCCGCTCGGGGACGCTGTCCAGGGGCTGCTCACTCAGGTTGGGGCACTGTCGGACCTCCTCAAGCAGCACGGGGGTGAGCTGCCCCCCAGGTTCTCGGAGATCGTCGACATTCTCAACACGCAGAAGGAAGCGGTCGTCGACGTGCTCATGCCCCGCAGCAGCTCGGCCAGGAAGCGCTGGGGCGACAGCGTTGGCGACGACGGCCTCGCGACTGAGGACGACGACATGCCGCTCGACATCGTGTCCTCAGGAGGGCCCGAGGCCGCCCCCTCCCCTGGCGCCCCGCGGACAGGGCAGTCCGCGGCTGGGCCGCCCGCCCCACGGGCCAGGTCTGCGGACGGGCCCTACGGGCCCGCTGTGGCCCGTGGCCAGCGCGGAGCGACTCTGGGTGCGTGGCCCCAGGTGGAGCCCTGCCTCGCCAAGGCCCTCGCAGAGCAAGGGGCGGCCATCTCGGACGGCGACCCCTTGGTGGCTGCGGCTGCTGCTGTGGCTCCTGCTGCAGGGTACGGGCCGCGCCGTGGGTGACGCAGGAGGGCTGGAGTGGCAAGCCTCCACAGTTCGTGGGCCCAGCTGCTGGGACAGGTGGAGGAGGCGCTGCGACGGCCGCTGGCGCGTCAGAGCCCCTCGCAGGCGGCGGGCGGCGCCCAAGGGCCGTGCCCGAAGTAGCCAGCTGGCGCGGTCGGGAACACCGAGGTGGCCCCCCGACGGCCAGTCAGGGGCCGAGAGCGGTGGGATTCAGCCCCACGTCGTCGCAGCTCTCGGCCCCGTTGGTGAAGGGCAGGCGCACCCCCCGCTCGCTACCGGAGGGGCGGAGGGACGGCCGCCTCCCCAGCGGTGGACACCTCCCGTGCAGGCGAGCAGCCCGCCGACGACGTCTAGGAGCGCTGGAGCGTGGGGCCAGGTCCCCCCTCCAGTCCTGGTGGGGGTGGAGGGCCCCGCGACCAGGGGCTCGGCGGGCATGGGGCCTGGCGTTGAGGAACGCGCGGCTCGCGAGGCTGCCGTCATCGGCAAAGCGCCGCTGGTTGACAGGGCAGGAGGCCAGCAGCTCCGAGCTGGCCTCGTCTTGCTCGGCTGCAACGGCAATACTTGGAGCAGGAGCATTGAGGTCATTGAAGCCTTCTTCAAGGCGTACGACTACTGGCCCGACGTTGTGGCGCTGCAGGAGACGAGGCCCCCGCATGAGCGCCTGCCCAGTGCGGCGGCTCAGGCCCAAAGGCTGGGGTACGCGGCCTTCCTTCACGCGGCAGTGTTGACGGAGAAGCAGGGGCCCCTGGCGACCTCAGGCGGCGTGGCGATCCTGGTGCGGGACGGCTTGCAAGCCGACGAGTCTGCGGCCCCGCTGCCCTCGGCTTTGCGGCACCGCCTCATCGGAGTGGAGATTGCCGCAGCTTCGGGCCTTCGGCTTCTGGTGCTCGCTGGTTATTTTCAGCACTCTCTGGGCCCTCGAGGTACCAACCTCGACTTGTTTTCGGCCATCTCGGAGGTGACGGGCTCCTATGCAGACATCCCGTGGGTCCTCCAAGCGGACTTCAACATGGAGCCCGAGCCCCTGGAGGAGTTGGGGTGGCCCGCGGCAGTGCGGGGGCACGTCCTGGGGCCCTCGGAGGCGACGTGCCATGCCGAGGGCTGTGACCACCTCTACGACTGGTTCGTGGCTTCTGCGGCGTTGGCGGCCTGCACGGCATCCTGTGCCACCGCGCTCGAGGGCTTTGGGCTGCACCCTCATCGCCCTGTCCTACTTCGCCTACAGGATGTTCGGGCAGATGCGTTGGTTGAGGTTCCGTCCAGGCCCGCCCGCTTTCCCGAAGTAGCCCCCGAGCTCCTTCGGGCACATGAGGACGCGGTTATTGTGCGTTACTCGGTTGGCAAGAAGGGGCAGGTCACGTCCAGGGAGGTCTCGTGGTCCTGGGACGTGGGCTCTGTTCCGACCAACCTCTCCGTTGCCTTCGGCGAGTGGGCGGCAGCCGCAGAAGGCACCCTGGTCGGCATCCACGGCATCGGCCAGGCTGACCTGGCCCGTCATCTCGGCAGAGGAGAGGGGCCGAGGCTGACCCTCAAGCCGCTCAGCGCCCTTGTCAGGCGGGAAGCCAGGTTCAGGTTCAGCCTCCTCACGCACCGCCTAAGGAGTTGTCTGGACGTGGCCCTCCAGCGAGTGCGCGCGGAGAGCACTGGCCGATGGCACCCTCGGCATGCGGTCTGGTACGAGCACCAGGCCGAGCTCAGGGCGCAGCTCTTGCTGGAGGCGGTGCAGGAGGCGGACGACTCGGTCGGTCAGGGCCTTCCTGGTGCTGCTCCTGAGCGGTTGGGCGACCTGGTGTACCAGGCGGGCGTCCTCGGCAGTCCTGAGGCAGTTCGGGACCTCCAAGGGCTGCTCAGTGCTTCGCAGCGCCGCGATGCGGCTCAAAGCGCCCAGGCCTGGCGCAGCTGGGCCCAGACAGCGGTCGAGAAGGGCGGTCGCCTGGCCCACCGCTTCTCGAAGGCGACGCCCCCGCCGACGGTCAGGGACGCTGACTCGGGCAGGAGGCTTGTGGGTATGGCAGCGATTGGCGAACTCACGAGAGTCTGGCAGAAGCTGTGGCTCCAGGACGGGTTTGCCTCGGGCGCGGGGGCCAGCAGCTGGGACGTGGGCGAGTGGCAGCTGCCCCCCATCTCGCTGGAGCAGCTCCAGGCAGCCTGCAAACGCTACAGCCCCTCGGTGGGCCTCGGGTGCGACTCCCTGCGCCCTCGGCAGATCCTCCTTCTGCCAGTGGCGCTGCAGCTGCGCATCCTGGACATCCTGGCGGCCTACGACGAGGCCCCTGCATCGATCCACGGGCAGGTCTCCCTGATGGTGTTCATTCCGAAGGCAGACGGTGGGGTAAGGCCCATAGCGCTGCTGCCGTTGATCCTGCGGCTCTGGTCGCGCCTCCGCCAACCGTGCTGTGCACGCTGGGAGGCTGACCACAACTTCCCCTTCTTCTGGGGACGTGATGGGCGGGACTGTGAGAGGGCTGGTTGGCTGCACAACTGTTTCGCGGGTTTCGCGAAGTCGAACCTGCAGTTCGAGGCCGCGAGCCTCTTCCTGGACATCAGCAAGTTCTACGAGCACGTGCGGCACGACGTTCTCTGGGCGAATGCGGTACGTTTCGGGTTCAACCTCAGGCTGCTGCGCGGCCTCCTCACGTCCTACCAGGCCCCTAGGATGATCCTAGCGGCGGGCATGGCCTCCCCCGCCTTCGGCACTACGGGAACGGTGCTGGCTGGGTGTGCGTGTGCGACAGCAGTTGCGAAGCTCCCAGTACTGGGAGCCCTCCTGGCAGCGGGGGCGACTTGCCCGTTGGTCACGCCGAGGAATGTTGTCGACGATATTTCGCTCCAGGCGGTCGGCACGGCTCGGCTCGTGAAGCTGCAGATGGTGGCCGCCAGTTGTGAGGTGGTCCGACAGCTGCGCGAGCAGCACCTCCCACTCAACGAGAGTAAGTCGGTCTTCCTGGCCTCGTCGCCGCAGCTCGCCAAGGAGCTCTCCGAGGCTTGGGAGGCGCATGGCTTTACCTTCAAGAGGGGCCTTCAGGCGAGGAACCTCGGCACCGACGCCAACATCACTCGTCGCGGGGTTCATGAAGGAGCTGTGCGGGCGGCCAGCGGCCTTCGCCGAGGACGCAGGCTAGGTGTGCTTCGCTCAGCTGGCGCGGCTACCGAGCTGGTTCATCGTGCTGGGCCCACCGCGGCGATGCTGTGGGGGCGCACTGTGACTGGTGTTCCAGATAAGGAGCTGCATTCGTGGCGCTTGGCGGCTGTGCGCTCAGCTGGGAAGTTCCCTAAGGGCGCCTCGCTCGGGTTGAGACTCAGAGTGGTGGAGGTCATGAAGTCCATCGACCTCGACCCGAGCCCCGCGCTGCTTCGGGCCGCGGTGCAGATGGCGGCCAGTCTCCTCCAGTCGGGGGAGGTCCCGCTGCGTATGTTCGAGTCGGCCGTGCAGGAGGCAATGCAGAGGCACGCGGGAGCAGCAGCCCCTTGGGCGCACTGCCGCACGCCGGTGGATGCCCTGGCCCTCTCGCTCTCCAGAGTGGGCTGGAAGCTTGTTCAAGGAGCCCGCCTCGCAACCGACGACGGCCATCTCCTGGACCTGCGCATGTTGGGGCCGCGCGAGCTGGGCCTGCTGGCTGCGGCAGGGGCACGGCGAGCGTCTGACAAGTCGGAGCTGGCCCGCCTCGGCCACGGTGCGCTCCCTCAGTCGCCCCTGTTCTGGGAGGCCTTCGCGGAGGTCCTCGGGCCTGGCAGCAAGCTCAGCCACAGGGAGAAGGCGGCGGTGGTGAGCTTCCTTTCCAACGCCCACTGGCCCCAGACCCGTTTGCACGCGGCGGGTGAGAGGGAGCACGCTCGCTGCTGTGCCTGTGAGGCCCCCCGCGGCAGCCTCTGGCACAGGCTGTTCGAGTGTCCTGTCCTCGCGGGGGCCAGGCGTGACTCCACCTCTGACCGCCTTCGGCGCTGTGCGCATCGTGCACGCGGCCGCGGCGAGGAGGCGGGGGAATGTTTCGCGCGCTGCTGGCTCCCTCAGCCACCGAGGGCCGCCCCGAGGTCAGACGCCATGGCAGTCATGTGGTGCAATCGCCCCGCCGACGGTCTTCTCGGGGGGCGGCTCTACCTGGATGGGTCGGCGCTCGACCCCGAGCACGAGAGCCTGCGGCGTGCGGGATGGAGCATCGTGCAGTGCGACTCCGACGGCAACATGGAGTGCGCGGTGTACGGCAGCGTGCGCCAGGACCTCTGCCCGTTCCAGACGGCGAAGGACGGCGAGGATTTCGCGGTCTGGATGCTGTCTCGCTTTCTGGGCCCGAGCGTTGACGAGATCCTCATTGATTGTGCGTCCACGGTCAGCTGCCTCACGATGGGCAAGAAGTACGCGACGGCAACCAGCAAGCCCAACGCCCACCTCTGGGAGGGGATCTACGCGTCGCTGGACGTGGACACGCTCAAGGTGACCAAGGTGGCAGCCCACTGCACCGCCAGAGACGTGATGGATGGCAAGATCACGGAGGCGGACCTCCGTGGCAACGGACATGCAGACCGCTGGGCCAAGGCGGGGGCGGAGCTCCACCGTACCAGCCCAGTGGCCAGGCGCGAGTTCTTTGGCACGATGGAGGTGGTGAGGGAGCTCTCATGCTGGGTGGCGCAAGCCTCCCTCATCTGGCAGGGGATCGAGGTCAAGGACTGCGAGGGCCTCCCCGAGGGCAGTGAGCGGGCGGCCGTCTCCTTCGCAGTGCCAGTGGTGGAGCCCGCCAGCAGCCGCCCGCCCGACCTGGGTTCGGGCGACGGGTGGGCATCGGCGGCGCGCGCTGGTGGCGTCTCCCTCGGGGCGACGGCCTTCGTCGTCGTCGGCCACGTCCTGGCCTACGCCAAGTGCGGGGAGGGCGCCGCCGAGCAGGAGCTGATGGCGTGCACCCACTGCGGGGCGTACGCGCGGCTGGGTGGGCGCTCAGGTGCTGCGCCCAAGCTCAAGGAGCAGTGCCCAGGGTCGGCTGGGCTTCCCAAGGGCAGGAGAGACCAGAAGGCGCGCTGGTTGCAGGGGCGGCACCCTGCTGGCACGCCCCACAGCGGCAGCAAGAGGGTCGGAGCGTCTGTGCCCAGCCTGCGTAAGGAGGACGTGGTGCCGATGGCCGCCAGGGTGCGCTTCCTGGAGTGGCTGGGTGTCCGCCCCGATGATGCACCTGGCGGCGTGGCCGCCGACGCCGGCCGGGGGCCCCCCAGCGGCGCGGCGGCCGCAGGTGAGGCGGAGGCTGAGCCTTTGGCGCCTGACTCCTCGGGGGCCTCGAGGGAGGCTTGGCTTTCCGCCTACGGACTCGACGAAGCGAGCCTCCTCGAGTGGTCAGCCGCAGCAGAGGCGGCGCGCGAAGACAGGCGCAAGAGGCGCCGTCGCGCTGAAGGTGACGAAGGGGAGTGATGCAGCATCTCTTTCCTCTTTCTGTTGTATCTGCCCCTCGTCACCTCTTTTGGCGTGCGCGTGAGGCAGCGTTTTCTGCCCCGCATTGCTGATGCAGCGAGGCGGCTCTGTTAGGCGTGATGTGCGCCTCCGCCCCGCTGCCTTCTGATTTCTTTGAAATCGTGCGCTTCGCGCGTTTGGCGCCTCGCGCCCTTCCCCTGGCGGCTCCCTTGGGGCCCCTAGGGTTGGCCCTTGAGGCCCTGGGGCCAACGGGCTCTGTGGGCCTCGGGCTCCTTTTAGCCTTCATAGGCCCCGCAGCCCACAGCCCACACCAGAGCACGGCAGGCCACACAGGAGCACGGCAGACCACACAGGAGCACGGCAGACCACAAAGGAGCACGGCAGACCACACAAGAGCACGGCAGACCCCACAAGAGCACGGCAGACCCCACAGGAGCACGGCAGACCCCACAGGAGCACGGCAGAGCAGACCCAAAAGGAGCACGGCAGACCACACAGGAGCAAGGCAAACCACAGGAGCACGGCAGACCACACAGGAGCACGGCAGACCCCACAGTAGCAAGGCAGACCCCAAAGGAGCACGGCAGACCACCGGAGCACGGCAGACCACACAGGAGTACGGCAGACCCCACATGAGCACGGCAAATCCCAAATGAGCACGGCAGACCACAAGAGCACGGCAGACCACACAGGAGCACGGCAGACTCCACAGGAGCACGGCAGACCACAAAGGAGCACGGCAGACCACACAGGAGCCCGGCAGACGCCACAGGAGCACGGCAGACGCCACAGGAGCACGGCGGAACCCACAGGAGCACGGCAGACCGCGCGCGGGTACAACATAAACGCGCCTTTTTGTTGTACCCCGAACGCCGCTGGCGTTTCCCCAACAGGAGCACGGCAGATCTCACAGGCGCGCGGCAGACCCCAAATGAGCACGGCCGACCACAGGAGCACGGCAGACCCCAAATGAGTACGGCAGACCCCAAAAGAGCACCGTAGACGCCTCAGGAGCACGGCTGACCACACAGGAGCACGGCAGACCACACAGGAGCGCGGCAAACCACAAAGGAGCAAGGCAGACACCAAATGAGCACGGCAGTCCACACGTTCGCACGGCAGACCGCACAGGAGCACGGCAGACCCCACATGAGCACGGCAGACCAAGAAGGAGCACGGCAGACCACACAGGAACACGGCAGACCACAGGATTCCCCAAAATGGCCATTTCGCTCGAGACATCCTCGAAAAATCGAGGTGTTGGAGGCTATCGCTTAAGACGTCTTATGTTAAAAATGACGGTTTCGCTCGAGACATCCTCAAAAAATCGGGATGTTGAAAAATATCAAAAAAAAAAATTGTTATGCATGAAAAATGAGCGTTTCGCTCGAGACATCCTCGAAAAAATGAGATGCCGACAGAGGTGTTTTAGAACCTCTTATGTTAAAAATGACGTTTTCGCTCGGGACGTCCTCAGAAAATGAGCAGGTGGTCTGCCGTGCTCCTGTGTGGAGCACGGCAGACCACGGCCATTTCGCTCGAGACATCCTCAAAAAATCGAGGTGTGGTCTGCCGTGCTCCTGTGTGTCGTGTCGTGCGGGGCCTATGAAGGCAAAAGGAAGCCCGAGGCCCACGGAGCCCATAGGCCCCAGGGCCTCAAGGGCCAGCCCTGGGGGCCCGAAAGGGGCCACCGCAGGGGGGGGCGCGAAGCGCCAGACGCGCGAGGGGCCGCTTCGGGCCAACCTCCAGCACACCCTCACGAGGGGCCGCTTCGGGCCTCCCCGAGGGCAGGCCGCCAGGGCCAACGGGGGCGCCTAGGCCCCAGGGCCACGAGGGCGGGCGGTGCCGAGAGGCATGCAGAAGCAGCGAAGCTGCACTCACAGACCTCGAGGCAACAGAGACAACAGCAAAGTGTTGCAAGCTCACGTACACATTCAAATACAAGAAATGCGAATGCACGGAGCAAACGGAATTAGCGTCCGCACGCACGGCTAACCGTCCTGCACCTGGGCCTCGGCACCCTCCTCGAAGGCCGTGCCGATGACGACGGGACGCAGGTCGAAGCGGACGCGACGGGCGCGCCGCCCCATGCTTGCACCCCGCTTCCTGCGGGCGCGGCTGCCCTCGAAACCAGCGCCAGGACCAGAACCGCCAGCCACAGGAGCCTCGAGGGCCCCGCCGCCTCCCGAGAGGAGCGCCGCAGGGTGAGCGTGCAGGTACGCCAGAACCGCAGTGCTGGCCTGTGGCGCCGCCTCCGACACCGAGCAGGCCGTATCCACTTCAGCTTCAGCGTCGGCAGCGCCCACCTCCTGGTAGTCGAGCTCGGCCGAGCCGGCCCCCAGGGCCCTAGGCGAAGCACGTGCGGCCTCCAGCTCCTCATACTTCAACACCTCTGCCTCCAGGAGCTCGTCCAAGGTGCTGCAACAGCCCCCCTCCGCCGCAGGTCCTGGGCCCGCCAGCAGATCCGGAAGACTATCAGCACGAAGCGGCTCCCCAGGAAGAACAGCACGAACAGGAACCCCACCTCCCTGGCGCAGCCCTTCGACAGGACAGAGGCCCAGCGATGGCGCCGAAGTAGAAGACGACTTGCGACCGGCTGCGAAGAACTCGGGGGTGATCACCTTAGACGGCACGTCACCAGCAGGGCCGACATCATGCTCACCGCCGCCGTCACCAGCGCAAGCCACGGAGGAACCCTCGACGGCCTCGAACGACCCCGACTCCGAATAGCCAAGCACACCAGGCAGCGGCAAACATTCCAAGCACGTGCCGAGCGAGCCACAACGGAAGAGCTCCGCAGCGTCCGCGTTGAACGTGAAGCACTCTGCCTCCGCACGGGCCTCCAGCCTGGCTCCATATTTCTGCAGGCGCCGCAACTGCTCGATCGGCGCAGTCGACACTCGTACACCGCGAGCGTCGGAATGCAGGGCAACGTTCCTTCTCACAGCTTGCGCCGCAGACGGCATGCGCCCTGCTAGCTTCTCCCCCAAGGCCGGCGCCAGCGCGACGATGCGATCGGCCAGCTCCGCGCACCCGAAGATGGTGGTGAGGCCGCAAATGATCGCCTCGAAGTCCGCCTGCACCCGCCTGAGCTCGTCGGAGAGCTTGATGATCGCACGATCGGCAGACTGCCTAGCCCACAGCTTCCCTGCCTTGCGGTCCTCGGGGCTGCGGCGAAATGGGCGTGCAACTCCACACCCTCCCGTCGCCATGGCTGCGCCCGAGCGAAGGGCCCGCCGTTTGGCTAACGCCAGAGGCAGACCCAAGAAACCGCGCGGGGCTGGCTTGAACCAAAATGGCTACGGACCGTGCTCCTGTGTGGTCTGCCGTGCTCCTGTGGTCTGCCGTGCTGCCCACATGCAGGAGCACGGCAGACCGCGCGTAGGAACCGAGAGGAGCACGGCAGACCAAGACGAGGAGCACGGCAGACCAGGCTTAGGAACCGAGAGGAGCACGGCAGACCAAGACGAGGAGCACGGCAGACCAGGCACCAAGAGCGCCCTCAAGACGACGGAAAGGATGACCAAGACGAGGAGCACGGCAGACCAAGACGAGGAGCACGGCAGACTATGCCCTAAGAGTGCCCTCAAGACGGCCGAACAACGGCAGACCCCATAGGAGCACGGCAGACCACAGAAGAGCACGGCAGACCAACAGGAGCACGGCAGACCACACAAGAGCACGGCAGGCCACACAGGAGCACGGCAGACCACACAGGAGCACGGCAGACCACAAAGGAGCACGGCAGACCACACAAGAGCACGGCAGACCCCACAAGAGCACGGCAGACCCCACAGGAGCACGGCAGACCCCACAGGAGCACGGCAGAGCAGACCCAAAAGGAGCACGGCAGACCACACAGGAGCAAGGCAAACCACAGGAGCACGGCAGACCACACAGGAGCACGGCAGACCCCACAGTAGCAAGGCAGACCCCAAAGGAGCACGGCAGACCACCGGAGCACGGCAGACCACACAGGAGTACGGCAGACCCCACATGAGCACGGCAATCCCCACAGGAGCACGGCAGACCGCGCGCAGGTACAACATAAACGCGCCTTTTGTTGTACCCCGAACGCCGCTGGCGTTTCCCCCACAGGAGCACGGCAGACCCCACAAGCTCGCGGGAAACCCCAAATGAGCACGGCAGACCACAGGAGCACGGCAGACCACACAGGAGCACGGCAGACGCCACAGGAGCACGGCAGACCGCGCAGGAGCACGGCCGGCGCCGGAAAATTGAATTCCGAGGCGGTGCCGAAAAAAGGCCACTCCAAGACATATTTTTCTTTCGAAAATATTGATTCTCCCCTCCCGGCGCCCTGGAACCCCTTCCGGGCCGCTTCTGGCACCCGGGCCGGCGCTCGAGCCAAACGCCCGGGCCAGCACCCGGGCCAGCGCCCGGGCCGGTTCCGGCGCCGGCCGGCGCCGGAAAATTGAATTCCGAGGCGGTGCCGAAAAAAGGCCACTCCAAGACATATTTTTCTTTCGAAAATATTGATTTTCTGCTCCCGGCGCCCGGGAACCCCTTCCGGGCCGCTTCTGGCACCCGGGCCGGCGCTCGAGCCAAACGCCCGGGCCAGCACCCGGGCCAGCGCCCGGGCCGGTTCCGGCGCCGGCGCCGGAAAATTGAATTCCGAGGCGGTGCCGAAAAAAGGGCACTCCAAGACATATTTTTCTTTCGAAAATATTGATTTTCTGCTCCCGGCGCCCGGGAACCCCTTCCGGGCCGCTTCCGGCACCCGGGCCGGCGCTCGAGCCGAACGCCTGGGCCAGCACCCAGGCCAGCGCCCGGGCCGGTTCCGGCGCCGGCCGGCGCCGGAAAATTGAATTCCGAGGCGGTGCCGAAAAAAGGCCACTCCAAGACATATTTTTCTTTCGAAAATATTGATTTTCTGCTCCCGGCGCCCTGGAACCCATTCCGGGCCGATTTTTTTTTTTTTTTTTTTTCTTTTTTTTTTTTTTTTTTTCACCAGGCCACCCGGGCCGGCGCTCGAGCCGAACGCCTGGGCCAGCACCCGGGCCAGCGCCCGGGCCGGTTCCGGCGCCGGCCGGCGCCGGAAAATTGAATTCCGAGGCGGTGCGGAAAAAAAGGCCACTCCAAGACATATTTTTCTTTCGAAAATATTGATTTTCTGCTCCCGGCGCCCTGGAACCCCTTCCGGGCCGATTCCGGCACCCAGGCCGGCGCTCGAACCGAACGCCCGGGCCGGCACCTGGGCTGGCGGCCGACGCGCGATGCGCTGCCACAAGCCAGCTTTCCGCAAGATCGGTCCAGAGTGGGAGGGGACGGAGCTGGGCGGGTGAAGGACCACCAGAGCACTGCTCCAGCCTTCCCTCAGCCCTGGGTCTGCTGACCACACAGGAGCACGGCAGACCACACAGGAGCGCGGCAAACCACAAAGGAGCAAGGCAGACCCCAAATGAGCACGGCAGTCCACACGTTCGCACGGCAGACCGCACAGGAGCACGGCAGACCGCACATGAGCACGGCAGACCAAGAAGGAGCACGGCAGACCACACAGGAGCACGGCAGACCACACAGGAGCACGGCAGACCACACAGGACACGGCAGACCCCACGGGAGCACGGCAGACCACACAGGAGCACGGCAAACCACACAAGAGCACGGCAGACCATACAGGAGCACGCCAGACCACACAGGAGCACGGCAGACCACACGTTCGCACGGCAAACTCCACAGGAGCACGGCAGACCCCAAAGGAGCACGGCAGACCACAGGAGCACGGAAGACCGCACAGGAGCACGGCAGACCACACAGGAGCAAGGCAAACCAAGAAGGAGCACGGCAGACCACAGGAGCACCGCAGACGCCACAGAAGCACGGCAGATCGTCGTCGTCGTCATCGTCGTCGTCGTCTTCGTCAATAACGATCTCGAAAATTACGACAAAAAACGATGACAGAAAACGACCACAAACATAACACAAAAACCAACCGAACACGGAATCCAACAACAAAAAAACAATCAGAAAAACGACCGCAATCATAAAATGATAACGACGGCGACAGCGAGAACGGCAACAGCGGACGATTATAATGAAAACGACGACCACGACAAAGGAAAGGCACGCGACGACGACGACGGACAAACAAAAGACAAGACAGGCTGGAACAGAAAAAGTAGGCTGGGCGACAACGGGTGGGGGCCCGCGTGGCCGAGAGAAAAGCACGGTGTCGACACCATGATGTGGCCAGGGCAGCAGACTACCTCGACAGACCAGCGCGGCAGGCCACCATTTAGTCTGTTCTGTTGCGTTTATGGGTTTCTCTGACGTTCTCGCCAATACGGTCTCTGACGCACGTGGTGGATAAAAAACGGCGCTTCCCGTTCTTGTCCGGTCAGGTTCCCAAAATGGCCATTTCGCTCGAGACATCCTCGAAAAATCGAGGTGTTGGAGGCTATCGTTTAAGACGTCTTATGTTAAAAATGACGGTTTCGCTCGAGACATCCTCAAAAAATCGGGATGTTGAAAAATATCAAAAAATTTTGTTATGCATGAAAAATGAGCGTTTCGCTCGAGACATCCTCGAAAAAATGAGATGCCGACAGAGGTGTTTTAGAACCTTTTATGTCAAAAAAGACGTTTTCGCTCGGGGCGTCCTCAGAAAATGAGCAGGTGGTCTGCCGTGCTCCCGTGTGGAGCACGGCAGACCACGGCCATTTCGCTCGAGACATCCTCAAAAAATCGAGGTGTGGTCTGCCGTGCTCCTGTGTGGTCTGCCTTGCTCCTGTGGTCTGCCGTGCTCCTCACGAGGAGCACGGCAGACCAAGACGAGGAGCACGGCAGACCAGGGACCAAGAGCGCCCTGAAGACGACGGAAAGGATGACCAAGACGAGGAGCACGGCAGACCAAGACGAGGAGCACGGCAGACTATGCCCTAAGAGTGCCCTCAAGACGGCCGAACAACGGCAGACCCCATAGGATCACGGCAGACCACAGAAGAGCACGGCAGACCAACCGGAGCACGGCAGACCACACAAGAGCACGGCAGACGCCACAGGAGCACGGCGGAACCCACAGGAGCACGGCAGACCACAGAAGAGCACGGCAGACCAACAGGAGCACGGCAGAAAACACAAGAGCACGGCAGGCCACACAGGAACACGGCAGAACACACAGGAGCACGGCAAAGCATTCAGGATCAGTGCAGGTCGCAGGGGCGCCGCGTATCACAGGAGCACACCAGACCAACACGGCCAATCAGCACGGCAACGCCAGGAGTATAGCAGGGCACAGGAGCGCGCCTTAATTCTTTTCGAGTGCGCAATGCCGTGGGTGCTCTTGATAGCCTTCGACGATTAAGGTCGCTCTCTCACGTGCTCTATGTTGTTGGCACATGTTGTATTGGGCTCAATGTGGTTGCAAAGCTGCGGCAGGGTGTGCGCGGTGGAGGTGCTTCTATTAGCCCTGTGAGATCCAACTTTCTAGTAGGTGATCCTCGGGGCGATTCTTACCGATGTTTATTTTCGGCATGCTCCGACTGGCGTTCTATATGATGTTCTGTGGGTCTCTTGTTTGTCCAGCGCGTGCTGCTAAGACGATCAAGTATTGCAAAGGGTATCACAAGACCCGCCGTGGTGAGGAGCCCCCGAAGGCTCAGTCCGGTTATGACGGTTACTGCAAGTCTTGCTACAAGGAGAAGCATCCTACTCTGCACCGCCAGAAGCAGGAGAAGAGAAAGGGATGTTGTCGATTCTGCGGTGCGCAGCGCGAGCTCAGCGGTGGCATGTGTAAGCCGTGTTATCGGTCTCGCAGCTGCCCTGAGTGTACCTGGTGCAACGAGGAAGACGAACCAACGCTGTGCGTGGCCTGCGAGTCA